GCAGATTTTCGATAAGTTAAAGTTGAAGTTGGAAATTTTCAAAAATGCTTCATCTCAAAAATCAATACAGAGAAATGCCATTTTACAGCTAGAAAATAAATGAAATACAAAGAAATCCACAGCGCTTTTTCCCCAATACTACATTGAATTTCATTATTTTTTCGCGTAACGATGCGCTGTTTAGCTTAACTGATAATAAAATTTCATTTGGAAAACCATGACTCAATTGCAATGGATGTGACGGGGTGAACAGATACCGGAAAGTACTGCCAAAACAGCAAAAAAAAAACAGCAAGAAGACAGGAGAGATGAATGCACTGCGAGTTTGTCGAGAGAATTTCTACGTAAAAGCAGGCATTGGACAAAGCTGTGTTCTCTTTTTTTTCGTGTGCAATCGTCATTGATTTTTTCTGTTTACTGTTTTAAGAAATAAAAATTGTGACCCAAATCTACGGTGCAAGGTGGCCAAGTGGGTAGCGAAGTCATTGAAAAAACGCAAGCACTGAAGTGTGGCTGTTTTGTGTTGTCTTTTTTTGTTTCGTTTTTCTTAGTTGCTGTCACCTCAACGCTACTGCAAAGCTACATACATGCATACATATGCACATATTTTGTTTAATTTTATTTTGTTTTGGTCTGAAGTTGTCTTCTTCAGTTGTGCAGTTTAATTTTGTTGTTTGCGGTTACGATTTTTATGTTATGCGCGCTGCGCATGCGATTTACCTCTTTGAATTTATTTTGATATTTTATTTTCGAGTTTTTCATTTCCTTTTTTTTCGCCGCATTTTACTTTTAATTTGTATCTTTTGAGATACCCTTCATTTAACAATGTTTAATGCTGAACCTTTTGCAAATTGAGGTTTATGAGCTTTAAATCATCGCCACCACCTCCTCACTTTGTTGTTGGTTATTTTTTATTATGCTGTTGTCTCGGCAGCCAACTTTGAAGGTTAAAGTGCGGCTACAGTCGATGTACAAAGCGGCAATCGCCGTTAAAACATTACAGTATGCTGCTGCAAAACGTTTAAGGTTTGTGGTGAAAATTAAATAAAATTATAACATACATATGTATATTGCATAAAAACCGAGTGACGTTACATTTGATGTGCAAATAAGTGTCGCCTAATCTATGAATAATATAAAAACACTCATGTGTATCTGGCAGATTGAGTTTCTGCGGTCGCATAATGTGACCAAAAGTTGACCCACTTTTGATGGTCTTAAGACACCACCGACACGAGATAAAATAAAACAAAAAATAAAATAAGATTTACAAAAATTAAATTCAAATAAGATAAATTAAGATAAGACACGACAAAACAAGACAAGACAGGACAGGACAAAACAAGAGAAGGCGAGACCAGACAAGACCGAAACAGACGGGAGAAAGCAAGATAAGATAACCTAATATGGTGTGTGGGTTCGAGCTTCACACCTGAGCTTTTAGATGTTTACAATTCCAGTTCGGATTGCTCAGTTTACTTTCGATATAATTTGTATATATCTTTTCACGTCGACTCCCTTTTGTTAGGGCAGTCCAAATAGCCAAATCTAACCTGCGGATTGTCATTTTTATTAGTCCTGCTCATTCAACAACAAAGCTAGTTAAGGCCAATTAGGCTAAGCTAACCTACTTTAAGCTAAGATAAGATAAAATAGGATAAAATAGCTTAAGATAATTTTAGATAACTATCCACTATTATTGGCAGGAACAATTTTAAATAAGGTAGATTGAAGTGATTTTTCGAAAACTCATTTTTCTTAATTGTTCGGGTCTGGAAAAGCAAGATCTTTGGGGTTTTGCAAACTAAGCTGCTTTCCTCGTCGAGTGCACCACAAATATGTCCCCTCGATGTCGATAGGCGTCGGCCGACCAAGGTTGAAGTTGTCGTTCCTGTTGTCTGAGGCTCAGTCTGGCAGCATCGCGTTGGATGTTGTTGAGTGTCACTGTACTTGTATATCGTGCATCGCCAATCTACCTACTAGAGCTGTCAAACTATCGATAGTCAAGTCCATCGATGTTTTACGATAGTGGGTGACTATCGATACTATCGATAGTATCGACCCATTTCAAATGTTTTTCTAAATCCATTTATTTTTCGTTATCTTGCTTTTATAAATTTGTTTATTTTAGCGGTTCACGGTTGCATTTAAATATCGAGAAATATTGCTAGAAATTCATTCGTGTAAACAGTCAAAAAGCGATTTCAGAAATTCTCGCTACAATTCGCCTTTCAGGGAAAAAAAAATCTTTCGAAAGACACTTTACATGCAAGGTGCCACTGCTCATGCAACAGCTTTCTGCAATTTCTCAATTTGACAGTCTTTTGAAATATACTGCATTGCTCGGTCTAAGACGGCAATATAACCTCTGCTATTTCCACGCTTAAAATAAAAAATAGCGCTTTTAGAAATAATGCCATGAACCACTTAACAGATCACCCAGCACGGCAACCGCGTATTTGTAATTGCATTTGAGAAAGAAAATAATAGTTGGTAACGTCATTTTTTATTAGGTTGTTTCATTCACACAGATTGTTTCATTCCGTTTCATTCACATGGCGGCGAAAAAATTACGCACTGCACAAAAAAAATAAAAATATTTTTTCTCGCACACCGTCCTGGGTGATCTTTATTCGTTCGTTCATGAAATAATGCTGCCAATTTTTGTTCTCTTTGAGCCATGAAAGAGAATACGCTATCAATGAAACGATAGTGGCGATAGTATTAAAACTATCGATAGTTATTTCAAGTGATCAGACTATCGATACTATCGATAGTATCGGCGATAGTTTGACAGCTCTACTACCTACCCGTTTTTTCTTCATTGAACGCAAGTTACTTGTGAGTAGTGATTGCCTCGAGTGTCTTTACAAGAGAGAGAGTCCTCTAGTGCGGCGTTTTCTTTTCGCTTCGGTATCGGGATCAGGGATGGTGTTCCTGGCCAAAGATAGGTTGAAGAGTGTAGTGTAGAACTCGACTTCCCGTGCATAAAGTTTTTTTTAGCATCAGCATTGGCCAATGGATTTTGGCGATTGTTTCAACATCAACATAGGGATGCTGTCTAGCCAATGGTTTTCGGCTATTAAGCTTTCGTTATGGTTTCCCTAAACTCCTTGAACTGGATTGTGGCTCATCCTTGCAAAGCTTGTGCATTTTTCGAAGGGTTTTGCGTTCGGCTGTGTCTCTCTCAGTCTTACCGATGCACTAATATTAGCCGTGTTTTATTTGCCCAGAAATTCAAGCTATTAGCTTATTTTGTATGGAGGACTTACCCAACATAATTATATTGGCTTATGAAAAGCTATCTTGGCTTGTATATTGAACAAGGGGCATTGCCATCAGCATCAAAAATTTTCTCCTTCAGCCAATCAGAAAGAGGCAAAAGCTCACTTTGACACTATTTGCAGTCAAACAACTGTCAAAATTAGGCTAACATAGGAAATAAGCTAATTTCGTTTTATTTGACCAAGATTTAGCTATTTGCTTGTGATGGTTGAATAAAACATGCCTAATGTACACTTGTGCTTATGTTCGTTAACAATGCACCGTATATCCTAATTAGATTCCTTGGTTCTAAGGTAATAAGGAGGCTATCGTATGCAAGGTTGACTTACTTAGCTTCTGCTTGTGGCGGAGGTAGCTGGGGCAAATAATAGACTTTGAACAGTAACGGAGGTATACATTCAATACCTGAAGTTTTTTAGAATCCATGTCTGTGTTCGGCTAGTTTGAGATGCTTCATGAGGGTGGCGATTATTGCTTCTACGGTTTTTGCCAACGAGGATGGGAGGCATATGGGTCTATACGAGTCTCCGACGACTGTCTTCTTCTCTGGGTGAAGAAGGGAGCTATGGGATGATCAAAGAGGCAGTGATAAACCCGACTTCGGCAGATATCGTCTTTTTCAATATTTTCGTGGAGATTGCATCTAAGCCAAATGCCTTAGATGACTTGGCGTTGCTGACAGAGGCCTGCATTTCTCCTACAGTATAGCAAGTTGGAGTGACTCGGCGGCCGAATTTGTGCGCTTTGTCCGTGGATCCGACATTGTTGTGTTGCCAATTATAAGGACTAAGTTGTTCTTTCGTTTCGCCGGATGGTAGAGATTTCCCATTCCTCCATAGTTTTTGCTTGCTCTGCATGTCTGATAGTGTTCGTTCTACCTTTTCCCGCTTGTGTCCATTGACCAGGTTTCTAAAATCCTTGTTGCGATACCTGTGTGGCTATTCTCAAACGAGTTAGCTACAATTTCCGCAACGCTATCGCAAGTTGCCGATGTGTGTTATGAATGCCGAAAAGTTGCGATAGCGATAGGATATTTGTCGCTAGCTCGTTTGAGAATAGCCCCTCTGATTCGGAGATCGCCCAGATAGGCTTGTTGAATTCGATCACGCACATCTGCAGTTCCCGCCGGCTGGTATGAAGCTAATGAAGTTTTTACCAGTTTAAATATGTTGGATTGATCGTAAATTTTAGTCATCTAGCAGACGTTTTGATTGACTTATTTCACTGGTTTTGCATTCCATTCGGTAAACTCATTGAAAAAAAGTTACACATTAAACACGCATTTTATTTTCCTACCTTTACTCTACAATTGCCCTTAACAACCTTCAAAATTCGCGCATGAAAAATACAGCCACTCAACCGTGACTTTATTACAGTTAACTCGAGTATTAAATTTTTTTCCATAAACCTTAATTATTGCCACAATTTTATTATCAAAAACGTAAAAAATAAAACCGAAAAAGAGCACAAATTGGCAACACCTCAGTTCCATGGGGCGATAAAAAAAAATGTTTGCAACCAACACGATTTAAGCTACTTCAATCCCCTCTAGCCACCTGTACCCGAATATGTGTATCTACAACTCGTTGCAACGTTGCACCTTTAAGGTTTTTTTTGTTGTCATTACTGTTTCATACATTGCATGTTGCATGCCTGCATACATATGTGTGTGTTTTATTCGTTTTTTTTTTTGTTTTTGTAGCTGTGTTGCTTACCTTTGTAGAGTTTATTGACACTTGCAATATTTCGCTTTACATATTTTTCTACATTGGCCGCTGTTTTTGCTGCTGCTGCTACTGCTGCTCCTACCAGCACTCGCACGTCTACTTTACAGCACTACTGTTCTCGTTCTCTCACTGTCTCTCTCACTACTTCGGCTACTGACGTTGGACACTTTTTAGCGCTTATCTCACTTGCACTTGTACACTTGTACGTTGCTGTTTCTACACTTTTTATTGCTTTTGCTCTGTTCTGCTTACAATGCAGCGTAACAAAGCGATTACAATTTAAAATGTATGTAAATGTTCCACAACTTCGCTACAGTAATTAATACACTGTATTTGACGAAAACAAATATTATTGCACATTAATTCGTAATTTGTTTTTTACAAAATTTTCAACAAATAACCCGGATATTTAACAGTCATGCGTCCGTAATGTGTGCACAGTCCGCATTTTCTTATTGGAAGCAGCGTAAAATGTTAACCACTCACTCAATGTTACACACACATGCACATCATGACTTTCCACTTTTTTACCATATGCCAAACTAGAGCGATCTCGCTCGCACGCATGCCAACTAACTGAATCGCACTGATTCTGTTGCTCTATTGCTTTTGTGTTTTTGTTGTTGTCTTATGAAACTCGGCGCTTGGCGGATGACACTTGATTTTTTGTTTACATTGCATTGAGTGGGCACAATGAAATGATCAAGAACAAGCAACAACAATGCAATGAGCACAAGTACACACACAAACACACGCGAGTGGACGCATGACGACGCAAACACCGTTCAGTCGTTCTGGTTCTGCACTTCTCTGCTTCCACTGTTCTGAATACTTGTTTCTTTGTTTGATTTGTTCGCCAGCGCGAAACCAACAAGGGGAAGGGACGAATAAAGCAATAAAAGCAGAAAATTTTAAATAACCTTCAACTACTTTTTTATTTTATTTTTGCCTTTTCGCCGCACGTTGATTGCTGGCGCACTTCTTGTTTTCTTTTATTTTCACTATACTCGAGCTCGCGTACGTAGATTTCACCACCACCATTCCCACCTTAGCAAATCAAATCTGTATACAGGACGTTGTTTTTGCTTATGCTTGGGTTTTGCGTCTTCTTATTCGTTTGGCCATTCCCCAGGGATTAGGCGCTGGGGCATTAACTTCCAGATTTCGTATTTTTATAAATAAATTATTAATTTATGAAAGCTTTCTATGAAATTACCTTTTTTATGAATTCTTCTGCTCGTGAGCCCACTCAAAAGTGGCGATAGCGTATCGGTTTGAGATTTCTCTCTACATAAATATTTCAGTGAAAAGTAGCACACTCGGCCACTTTGCCTTTGGCCATGTTGATTAACTAGCAAACAAATTTTGCTTTTGCTGCGCACAATGCGCTCGACGACGGTAGCTATTCACTATTCATAGTACACTACGCCAACCACTGACTCTTCAAGAGCCTAAAGTAAATCTCAGAATATTTCGTTTAATTGGTCTTTCTTTTCTTCGCAATTTTTTCACATATGCGCGCACATTTGTTTGCAGCCGACTTGTGATTTCCACTGCTGTTTAGTCTAGGCTAAATGCGTTACATTTATTATTACTACACATATGTATTTTGTAATTTAAAAAGCATTCACTCAAATGAGTCGTGCACTTATCGCAGTCTGCGCGCTACAAAATTTTTCTTCTTTTCAGATTTACAAAAATCCACTTGCAAAAAACACCGCCACCGCAAACGAAAACCGACCAACAACCTACTCCAGCTGTCACAAAAACAACACTGAACGCACTATAATCGAAATAGGAACGGCTCGTAAGCGCAGTGTTGCATGCAGCAGGTGTGTTTTGGAACTTGATGTGTGGATTTCATCTGTCGGGCACAGGTGAAATATGCACAGAATTTTGTTAAACTAAATTATAAACTTGAAAACGGTTCTACAGAGATGAAGCAATGTTTTATTTATTAACTAAACTTATAAAAGTATTTTTAAATGAACAGCTAAGATTTTAATTAAAACTTCTGAGAATAACATTAAAATCCACACCTTAGCGAAGACTACAACCATAAGTATACAAATAGTAGAGAACTTTAGTCCTAATTTAGACGACGCAAGTGCTTACAATCCATTTCAATTTCCTATGTTTCCATGTACCGTGGACTTGGGCGTTTGCAAAATTTTTTCGATTTCGTATTTTGACTACCATTTGAATACATATTTTACTATATAAAAATAAAAAATATGCAAAACCAAAAATTGTAAAGCTAAACACATCGTCGATATTTTTGCAAAACCGTCCATCGACAAGTTGCAGAACCGCCTGAATCGCCGTTGTGGGAAATATTAGGTAACCCTGAGATTTATGGATAAGAATCCTAAAATCATTGTTAAAACAACAGATTTGTAAAATAATAGCCAGAGAAAATACCACCTCTCAAGGGAATGCCTTCAAAAAAAATCTGTTTTTTCGCTCCCCTGTAAAATTTGAGTACCGTAAGATAAGCGGTTTTGCAATTAGTCGATGGGCGGTTTTGCAAAAACATCGACGATAATTTTTATTCTTGCAATACTGCATGATGCATTCTTTGCCCATTAATATAGTTGAATGTTTTTTATTTTTCCTCAGTATACACACTTTGTTTTCTTAAAAAGGTATTTTATCTTATTTTATTTCATTTCATAACGAATATGCTATGAAAAAGGAAATTTTGTTAAGGAGAAAATGTGAAATTTTTTTCCCCCATATGGGGATTCATTTCTTCCCGTTTCTCTTCTCATTTTACTGAGCTAAGGCAGTGTCAAATCGAGCTGTCACAACTGATACCAACTTGTATTATTGCATCATGGCAATACTGTACACAGCCAGTGTTGCCAGTTTGCTGGATTTCGCCCTTTTTCGGGATTTAATTTCTAAAAAGGGCGAATGGGATTTTTTGTGGAAATACGGGATTTTTTGCATTCCATACTAAGCAATAAACTTTAGTAATTGATAAATAGGTTAGATTAGGTTGAAGTGGCTGCCTGTGACTCCACCAGCACATATTTCGCGAAACCCAGAAGTTGCCGAATGCCTACCTCGGCTATGTCGGTTAGGTCTTCAAAGAATTTAGAACCCATAAACTATCGTATTCTTCTATAAAGTGCGGGGCATTCGCATAACAGGTGGCAACATGGCCTGTTAGCAGACCCACAGCTGCGACTAATAGCGTTTTCCTTTCTCAAAGAAAGTTCTGCCCTTTTATATGGGAACTCTTGCTTTGCGTTGCAAAACACTTATTTCTGATAGGGAAAATAATTGAATTTTTACAAGATTAAATTAAAAATCAACCATGCAACTCTCACCCTCACGTTTATTTGAGGGCAGAAAAGGCAGCCTTGTGAAAAGGCTGAGAAAAGAACATGAAAATGTGACAGCGCTAACACAAGGCCTTTTTTCGAGAAAAGAAAACGCTATTAGTCACCCCAGGTCAGCATGAGGAGATACTTCGGCCGCTCTTTGTCTCATTTTGGCCACGTAACTTCTTATTGTAGTTTAAAGGACAGATCCCATAGAATGAGCTTGCATGTAGCAAGCGGCATGCCTAATCCCTTCCAGGCTTCAAAAGTGAAGCGGATGTGCCCTCTTGCAAGTT